TTTTTTTTTTTTTTTTTGTTGTTTTACTGAATGACAATTTCATCGTATGGAAACAAATAATTCTAAAACGCCAATTTTGTAATCATTTACTAGCACAAAAATGTAGCACTCAAGTCACTAAATATTTTTATAATAATGCAAACATGTATTACATGTTTATATTCCTCCCTTTTTTTGGAATAAAAATAGCTTGCACTGAATAATGAAATCCATTTTGAAGTAGAAAATGTAAAGGATTACCAGCACAGTCACTGTAGCATTTATCAGAAATATTATAGTATTTGTATTATAAGTAACAAAATACTGTGAATGTTATTACTTCTTTATAATACAAGCTGTACTGCATCAGATTTTTCAATGTTTATTAAACAGGGTTACAATATATTCCCTCCTTATCAAATTCAAATTTTGCCCATAGTCAGAATAACCTGAAAGATGCAATAGTTCCCTTCAGCTGAAGATTTGCTCTGTATCTGATGAATTCTCTCCTTATAATTAAGTTGTCATAGCAATACATTTTTAATAGTACTGATTCATAGGCCACTAATGTGCGAGAGACAGAGCTGTTGATATTTTTTGGCATGCAGTTAGGCTAAATTATAGCTTTAGCAAGTACACAATTATCAGTCTATCTGCACTAGCAGAAGTATGTGTGGTAAGAGTTAAATTAGGCCAAAGTATTATCTGATACACACAACTAACATAGCTCTATACAAAACTCTGGACATCTCAGCTTAAGAAATTCAAGGCAAAACTTACACCTGATTTGTTTTAAACTTGAATGTTGAATGACTAAAAAACCTAAGTAATTACACCAGACTAAGCAGAATGAAAAGCTAATTTTTTTTCTTCACACCTGCTGCTTTTGTATATTGGTACTTACATGGTGCACTCAGAAATTGTGGAGAATATGCACTGAAAACGGAAAATCACAGTACTTTGCTGACACTGCTTTAAGATCTTCAAATACATACATAAGCAATTAAAGATATTTGTCAGGTTTCAGAGTAACAGGAAGGCATCTTCCAATAATTTGGACTGTATGTGTTTATTGTTTTCAAGGCCTTATCACAAGTGTTAGCATTCCTGCGTTTATGAGGTTTCTGCAAAGCCTTTGACATGATCCCTCATAACATCCTTCTCTGTAAATTGGAGAGGTGTAGATATGAAGGATGGACTGTTTGATGGATTAGGAATTGGCTGGATGCAGCCAAAGGGTTGTTCCCAATGGCTCTGTGTCAGGGTGGAGGCTGTTCACAAGTGGTGTCCTTCAGGGGTCTTGAAACCGGTGCTCTTTAACACATTCATTAACAACATAGATGATTGTATTCAGTGCATCCTCAGCAAGTTTGCAGATGACACGAAGCTGAGTGGTGCAGTCCATACATTGGAAGGAAGGGAAGCTATCCTGAGGGATCTGGACAGGCTGGAGAAATGGGCCCATGGAAACCTAATGAGGTTCAATAAAATCAAGAGCAGGGTGCACTTGGGTCAGGGCAATCCCAGGTATTTATAAAAGCTGGGGGAAGATCTCCTTGAGAGCAGCCCTGCGGAGAAGGACTTGGGGGTCCTGGTGGACAAGAGGTTGGACATGAACTGCCAATGTGTGCTTGCAGCCCAGAAGGCCAACTGTGTTAAAAAAGGTTAAAAAAGGGGAGGCAAGCAGAGAAAGGGAGGTGATTGTCCCCCTTCACTTGGCTCTTGTGAGGTCCCATCTGGAGTACTGCGTCCATGCCTGGGGCCTCCAGTACGGGAAGGATGTCGAGCTCTTGGAATGGGTCCAGAGGAGGGCCACTAAGATGATCAGAGGGTTGGAACATCTCTCCTATGAGGAGAGGTTGAGGGAACTGAGATTGTTTAGCTTGGAGAAGAGAAGGCTCCAGGAAGACCTCACTGTGACATTCCAGTGATTGAAGGGAGGAAATAAACAGGAGGGGAAATGGCTGTTTATGAGGGTGGATAGTGATAGGACAAGGGGGAATAGTTTTAAACAGACAGGGGAGCTTTAGGTTAGATATCAGGAGGAAGTTTTTCACACAGAGGGTAGTGACACACTGAAACAGGTTGCCCAAGCAGGCTGTGGGTGCTCTATCTCTGGAGGCATTCAAGGCCAGGCTGGATGTGGCTATGGGCAGCCTGGTCTGGTAGTTGGTGACCCAGGACATAGCAGGGAGATTGAAGCTAGATGATCATCATGGTCCTTTTCAGCCATTCTGTGTGAGAAGCACACCTGCTGAAGTCAGACTTTAGAAGCATGAAAGTAGGAGAAAGGTGTGCAAATGCTATACATTTTACCTACACCAAATTTCTCTGGCTCGTATTATGAGTAATAACTCTTATTAGGGATCCTAATAATGCCTAGCTGGGATTATTCATTCCACAAATTCTCAATGTCTTCCACTAAACTTTGTGAGAGGCTTCAGTCCTAGTGAGAGGCAGAGTTGGTTAGCCCATATGTACAGGCATAATCTATAGGCTGCATGTTTTTATATAGTTTCAAAGTAGTTCAAATCAGTGTAGTTAACTATCTAGGAAATACACCTCTAGAACAGCACAAGTCTTTCCTGGTCTAAAAGACTTCTTACAGTAAACAGAAAGAGACAATAGTTGCCAATGTTTTTCTCAATAATTTGCTGTTTTTTCTTACATAAGGCATAGTTTTCAAGACTGTTCTAAAGAATATTAAGTATCTACTTCTGGTAGTCCTTTGTGAATTGAGTTCTGTTTATTTGATCATAGTCATTGGAAAGACACAACCATAGGATATGAGATGTTGCAGCCATTTCTGGATACTGGAAAATGTGTGTGCTCATAGAAGAATGTGGAACTTATTTGGCCACAAGGTACGTAAGACATGGTTATATGTAGACATAGGAAGGACGAACAGATCTATCTAAATACTGAAGCCATATCTACTTGAAACTGATTATACTCTACCTGAGGTTAAATGAAAACTGTTTAATTATCCAGCCTGTCCTTAATGAAGGTAGGTTCATCTTCATCTGTTTTCTTGGATATGTTCCTAAGTATATTGAATGAGCTGTTGCTATAGGATACTTCTAGTTTAGGTCTTTGTTGCTTGGAAAAAAACTCTTCAAAAGTTTGAATTAAATGACTGAAATAATGGCTTCCCAAAAAAAAAAAAAAAAAAAAAAAAAAAAAAGCTGTGTTCATTTTGCATACACAAAAATATAATGTCACGTACTATTTGCAGAAATTGTGCCTGTCAATGAACTCTGTGATCAGGTGTGGAAAAAAAAGAGCTGTGGAGGGAGACTACAGAACAATTAATACACTAACTAGTAATATATTACACTTCAAGCTTATCAATAACTTCATGTTGCTGAGATATCAGAAGAAAAAACAATCATACTCATTTTTCCACATGAGTAATCACAGTGCTGATAATATCAGGGTGCATGCAGCTCTAATGTAAGAATATTTATCTCTATACAACAGTAACACACAAGAGAGATAAGCAGGCACAAAACTTTAGCTTACTGCAATAAATAGATTTAAAAATATGATTGTATTGTCTACATTGAAAAGGCATTTCTGAAGATCTGAGATTAAAGAAGTAAAACTGAAGGAGAGCAATTTTACAGGTCTGATACAAAGAAAGCAGAAATTATTATCGAACTACTGCTTATTCTCAAACTACGTAGTAGGCTAACAAAATGTAATTCTATTCTGAAATATACCAGTCTTACAACAATGTTACTGCCAGATTCTGAATAGGCTTTAGGTTTCACTTGCTTTGGAGGAAGGATAAAAGGAATATCACACTCTAAACTGTTTTCCCTCAGTAAATTAAGTAGACTAGTCTAGTCCCTCATCATCGCTCCCCTTCATTTCTCATTAAACTCCCCTTCAGTGATTAACAAAGTTGATCCTTTGCTCAGATAAGGGGTTACTTTATCTCACAAATGCGTATTAGTGAGAAAACACTTCTGCCTGCTTGGAGCTCTGCCTACGTCTCTATGAAGCAGAATAATTACATCCAACCACAGATGAAAAAAAAACAAAACAAACAAAACGACCCTAGCTAAACACATTTTCCTTTTGTTTGGTTCTTCCTTATGGCTATTTATCAAATGCAAGATGTAAAGTTGTAGTAAATACAAAACACTGATGTAGCTTTTTTTTTTTTTTTTACTTTCAGTGCTTTGGAAAAGGACTTAACTTGTAGAATCAAAATGAGTTGGAAAATTGGTCATATTGGTCATCTGCAGGCTTACATTCTACCTTAGCCTTGAAACTAGAAAAAGGGAAAATATTACATATAACAGTTGTCTTACCCAAAAATGCTACATCAAAGGATTGTTTCAAATCTTCAATTTTTAAGCAGTAATATAAGTAACTTTGAATGTTGACTGATATGTGAAAAACACACACTTAATTTCATTCAGTCCTGAGATTTTTATGGGAAGGGAAACATGCTCTAATTAATTTGGACAATGCTATCAGAAATAGTGAGCTTTTGGTTAAGAAGAAGAGGATAAGTAGGCAAAGCTTTATTTAGTTCATAAAAAACATGAAAAGGTTATATATAATCCTGAATTAAATTACTGAATAATGACTATGACTCAATGATACTTCTATACTTCGTTATTTCAGTAGTAAAAATGGTCAGATTGGCATCATATTCAAGCTGTTACTCAGCAAGACATCCTATTATCTGTACATTTTCAGACAGATGTAATAGTTAACCTTGACTACTTTGTTCTGCAAAACAGACTATCTTTCAGGCAAATTTAAAAAATAGATTCCTGTATTGGCTTCATATGTAATATTAATGCACAGCAGTAAGTAAATGGAAGATGGTGAAATGGTTCTGTAAATAGGTGTATTTTAGCAAATGAAAAGTGAAAAAAATAATGAAGAATGGTTAGATATTTTAAGTAATTTGTTACTACAGTCAAAGGCTTTTTCGCAATTCTTTTTGAGATGCAATAACAATTATATTAAATATTTAAAGTTGAGTAGGTGAATTCACTTACTGTTTCCTGGATGCCAGCGCACTGCATTTAAATATGCATTACAGTAATGGAAGAGAAATTCATGCTTCGACCGCATAACTTTTCCTTGAAGTAAAGGCATCAGATCATGTCCATCAATAATTCTGAGTAATAAAGCATTTCAAATTCAGAAGAATAATCCAAACTTCCCCTTTCCGTGAAGATGTTATAACTGTGCATTTTCACTTCTTGAAATCTAGCTCTCATGATCTGAATGGTCACTTCCAATTGATCATTTTGGAATAAACCCTTCAGGTGCACTTTCCCTTTGGTTTCTACATTATTTAAGGAAACTATTTTTATATTTTGCCATTAGGAATGATTGCTTCTTCCTCCCACTTCTCTTGCTGAGAATGAGATCAGACATATGTGTGTAAACTACTAAAACACAGCCCTCTGCATGTAAATATATAACTGCTCAAGTTGCTTCGAATTAGTCTGGTTGATGTAACAACTAAGACCAGAGAAATCTCTGCTACATTGTGCTTGCATTCCCTGAAGCAATGGTAATAACTAAGTCCAGTAAATTATGAATGCCAGAATTTAATACAGAACTAGTGGTTTCAAAGCTGAAAATGAACTATGTGTGTTTATCAACAACATATAAACACACCCACACACACAAGTACACATGAACACACAAATACAAGGGCTGTTCCAAAGGTAATGTCTCCTAATTTATTATGTTGGCCCACAATGGCAGAAGAAAAAGCTGGTAGTACAACAATACCTTCCTGCCAATAGCCTATTATTCTGTTGCTCTGCAACAGCAGAGGAGCAGTCTGACAAAATGGTATCTGACATGGAAGTGCATATGAAGCAAATGTAATTTAATTCCTCCATGCAGAAAAAATAGCTCCTACTGACATTCATCAACACTTGCTGAATGTTTATAGAGACCAAACAGTGGATGTGAGCAGAATGAGGTGGTGGGTAGCATGTTTCAGCAGTGGTGATAGCAAGAGCAAGTCACCTCTGTTGGCACAGATTTTTATTCAAGCAGCATGCAGGCTTTTGACCATAGCTAATGGTTATAACTATGTTTAAAAACAGTGTTTTGTAGCTTAAAATTTTCTCAGATTTTAAAATTTTTGCTTAAAATTTAAAATTTTTAAAACACACAAGTGTTATTGTAGTCTTTGTATCTTTTGCAATATGAAATATGAAAATAAATAGGAGGCATTACTTTTTGAGCAATACACGTATAAATTCTCTTTCTTCTGCTGGACAACGTTGATGATATTTTGAAAAAGTATGTCAATTTGCATTGAAATGGAGTTATATAACAAACAAGTCAGTTAAATGTTTCCATAATCTAAGCTAATGAATTGCTGGAATCAGCTGATGAGAGAGAAATAACAATCTGCATTTAATACTTTGTATGAATTACAAATTTTACAAGAAGTTTCATATGAACTTCATTTGTGCTGATATATAAATCAGCACGTAAGTATTTTTTTAAACACTTTGATCAATGTCTTGTAAAAAGATTTTTAAAACTCTTCAACTTCTAAATGCCCATCATTTTTCACGACTATATAAGACCTGTTTCATAACTACTACAAGATAGGCACAAATTCCACTTTTTCATCCCTTGATCTAGATCTGACTTGGCTGCAAGGGGGTACATTTTCAATTTGTGGTGTTTTCTTCTCTGAGTTATTCACTCTGGTTTTGCCCCTGCAAGCATGGCCACTTAAAGCTGAGAGCAGGATAGATTCATGTCTAGTGCATACACCCTGTTTTACAGATTCTTGAAGGGGAAAAAGTTTCCAGTAATATACCTCTAGTAGTCCTGTACAAAGTATAGCCCACATCTGCTAGTTTATATATGAGAATATATAAGCCTGAGACTTCACTCAAGAAATATTAAAATGAAATGCATAAGATCTGCCCTCATTTAGACTAGTCTGAACTGCTTAGGTTTGACAGAGTTCCTGTTTGTAAAGGATGTCTCAGTGCAAGTATGACTAATTTTTCATGTCCTACATATGTCCTGCCCTGCCATTTCCTGCACACACTCCATGAATCATCATTAGCAGAGTAGCTCCTGGCTGATCTACCTCATGTGGATTCTGGATGCTTTGTGCTCAAAAGTTGTTTGTGCATGGCAGAGGTATTCAAAGCTAAGTGTAGCAGCATCTATCTACATATTGGAGTTGGATGGCAGCAGAATTTAGGTGTGTGCACCTGCCTGATGAGAATGGATATCTCCTGAAGAAAATAAAACATATGGATGTGGGAATGTTAGTGAAACGTCTTAGGAAGTTTGAAAGTCCCATGGAGTTTCAGACTACAGGACACTCTTAAGAGATTATTTTTACTCATTTGGTAGAGAACAATAAATTGAATGAAAAGCATAGGTAGCATTTTGATGTGACTTGCTATCCTATGGAAGTGAAGGTTTGACTTATAAAGTTAAAATAATTTAAACTTGTAGGTCCCTTTTCTATCATATTCAGTCATATAGAGCAGAACTTTTTCTGATACATTTGTTCTTACTTTTTGGTAAATAATTCTAGGTCAGCATGTTGCTCTTGGTATTCTCTCACCCTGTAATTGTCCAGTACTCCTTCCCTCCCCTGCAAGCTTACCACACTGGATAACAGAACTGCATTGTAATGCTCTGAACTAGCCACAGAGCTGATCTTTTACAAATGATATCAGCAAAAGAAAAAAAAAACAAAACAAAAAACAAAAACAACAACAACCAAAAACCAACAACAAAAAAAGCCCACCCAAAAGAGTTACAAAAGAAAGTAAGGGAAATATTAGCACTCGATACTGAGTTCTAGCTGTTTATAACTACTGAGTACACATACCTGTCATAGGGCAACTGTGCCCCAGCTAGTTTGACAATGGTAGGAAAAATATCCATGTTACTCGTTGGATCATCAACATAAGTGCCAGCCTGAATCACTCCAGGCCAACGGAGAAGCCCTGGCACACGAATACCTCCTTCCCAGTTAGTTGATTTTCCACCTAAAAAAGAAAGTGTTTGATAAGACACCAGTTTCTTCTTAGAATAATCAATTTAATTATGTTACAGAACTCTCTAAATAAATGAACTGGTAAGAAATTTGCTACAATGATAACAACAATAGAAATAACTGAAAGAAATGGAATATGTGTGTTGAAATTACATTGTTGTGTGAAGCCAACAGTAATTCATGGTTCAAACATTACTCATTTCTCCCTTTTCAAGTAAAAATAAATAATTAATAAAACAAAATATCATAACGAAGTGTTTGAATAGTTCTGCTTCCTCAGTGGCTTAGAACTTCAATGCAACAGGATTTTCAGATCTTCAATACTGTTTTGACTTCTCCATGATTTTTTCCATTTCTGCATTGGAGGATTCAGAATGGATATTTCCTTTGTTTTCATTGCTTAATAATAAGATGGCAACTTTATAGCTGTTCATGTAGAGAGAATTTTCTGGCTGAAATCTTTTAGCTTGTGATTGTTCTGTTATAATACACTACTGTGTATTTTCTTCATAGATTTTATCAAAACATGCAAATATCAACATCAAAACAATGCTGAATATATTATATAGTATAAAATAGCCAGGAAAACATAATTAATTATTACTCTGACATTACAAAAATTAAACTTTCTAATATACAACACTACAACAAGCAAAAAGCTTAAGCTGTTCTTGGAAATCAGAGCGTGTTCTGATTTCAACAAGGCTATTCTTTTAAGACCAGTCTTAAACATCATCTCCTGACATTTAATCAAATGTAATTTCTCACCATAAGGTATATGAGTATCTATTCTGAAAGTTAGAAATTAGATGTGAAGATTATTTTTGTTTAAATTATCGTTGAAGGAAAAGGGACTTCCAAAATAACTATCTAAGAAAATGTAGATTTAAATTTATAAAGATGTTATTTGGTTATTTGGCTTTAAATCCCTACCATTTAGCAGATGGAAGTATGCCCAATATTTAATACTGTTAGTTCAAAAACCAGATAGATGTCAAGAAACTTTGTTCACCTTTTGTACAAAAGATGTCTCTACCTCTCTATGTACAACAGTCATTTGCACTTTAAAAGAAAGTTGGGCATTTTATGTTACCCAGCAGGAAAGTGTCAAGGTTAATATCTCAACTGACTTATGAATCACAGTAAATCCTACTGAGCAGGAGTACTTAAGTCTGAACATGAACTCAGGAAAAGGATATTAAATTATAGATGTTTGCAAATTAAGATATTTTTTCTGTGAAAATTTATCCCAGGGAGGTGATGTACTGAGACGAGACGGATCCTAGTTCTGTGTAAACATCACAAGAGCTTGTTGGCTGTACAACGTGGAGAAAATCCTGAGACAGTATCTACCTTCTAAAGGTAATTTTCATTGCTGTGCTCCTCTTACTTCTGCACATTTGTCTGAACCTAGTAACAGTGTTTTGTAGATTGAACTGTTCAAATAAATTATATTTTTATTGTTGCTTTGATCTTTGTCTTGTGTAATCTGAAGTAATTTCAAGGTAAGTGTTGAAACCCATTCCCACACACACTGCAACTTCTAAACCTGAGATATTGGATAACTTTTAGAGCTACTAAATTCACAGCACAATTTTCCTGAATCATTATAGAGATAGAAAACTTCCAAATAACCCCAGCACAAACAGAGTGCGCAGCAAACTGCCTGCCTACTGTGAGATACAAAAAGCAAAAATGGACTCCACAGTAGGACTATCTCCTTGTGTACTTCTAAGAAGAAGAGACTGTTTGCCTTTGAAAAGACTAATTGGAGCATAATTTTTTTACAAATCTAGAGGAAATATCAGGAAGATAGAAAAATAGCAGGGAACTAGGGCACGAATGACAGGGTTACTGAGGAAGACTGTATTCTATTATCTATGCCTACATGGTTTCCTGCTTTACTAAAACTTTGTTTAGTGACGTCACTAGATTTACTTGAAATGAAGTATGAAAGTTTTTATATTTGTTGTCTTTAAAATTGTAGCTGTTCCATGTTATTCAAGCTACCTGTTTTTATATCAAGCTTTCATACTGATGCTTGAAACATGAAGCAAACATTCAAACAGCTGAAATATTAAAAAAAAATAAAAATTCCAAAAAAGCTCATTATGTAAAAAAAAAATCTCTTGCTATTCCAAACTCTAACTCATTAATTTTCTATTTTGCTTGGAGTCAGCAACACTGAAACAGAGAAAAGACAGCAACTTAGCAGTCTGTATGCCTGGCAAACTCTACACAGAGTAGCAATATTTTATTTTTCTTCTTTTAAATTATTCTGAAATGTTTTTAAAACAGTATAAAACACCCCAGGCTGTATTTTCATGTTTAGCTATCTAAGCTCTCTGAATAGTTGAATCCTTTAGTATTTTATTGAACAACAGCCTACATCTACCTTTTTCTGAGAACTGCAGGAGCAGACAAGCAATAGACATAACTCTCTGCAGTCATCCACAACATGATCTCAAATTTCCATTTTAACTACATCTCAAATCTTAGCCATAAGAATACCTCTTTTTCCCCTCCCTCTGGTTTAAAATGACTGCTATTACCTAACTCTGGGAATAGAGCTTGTATGAAAGTTGATATACAAAAGAGAACTCTGTGGTATATCACTACTAACATTTTGAATGATGCATGATGAAAAGTATTTAAAAGAACTTTTTTTGGATCATATGGATTATAACCATGCTACCATTTCATTCCTGCTTGAATTCATATAAAAATAAACCCTTCAAAACCTATTTTTTTCGTGAATGAAAATACAAAGAAATTAATTGTTTGCCTGCCTCTTTGTTGTAGACTTTTCACTACAAATATTGATAATCAGATCTGGTTGCTATTGTCTATCTTACAAAAGTATCAAATAACTATTTGTTTTCACTTGCATGCATACTCATTATTACACTGATTTTCAATCCTTTTTAATGTACTTCTTTTGTTAATTTTCAACTTGAACTGTTCCTATAGAAGTGAAACTAATAAGATACAGATCATATGGACATATTACCATCTTCATCTTTCTTCTAAATAAGAAAATTCTCCCTCAAGATATTTTCTGATTCAGTCAAAATTACAGGATGGCTGGATTATTAAAAATAATAATAATAATAATTGGACCACTTCAGAGAATGGAAGAATACAGCACAATGGAAACAAATTCAATGCCTGTGCTTATTAAAGTCCAAAGTGAAACTTCAACCAACATTACTAGACATTTATTAGCACAGTTTCTGCATCCGAAATAGGAGTCAATTTGATTTCTCTGTGAATTACAGAAAGGAAAAGGTTTACTAATAACATAAACACTGCTGAATGAACTGGTCACTGCAGTATAGTAAAAATGCTTCAATTTCAGTAAAAATATCAGCTAGTTCTTTTCACTGTTCTGTGTTGAGCACTCACAGATCTATAATAGATGTCATGTGAAAATTAGGGGATAAGTCAGTAAGAAATATTGGTTTTGTCATGTATCATTCACTATGTATCATTAACTGGAGGATTCCAAAGGAACTGATGGGCCTAAAGGGTGCAAAGGACTTATTGGTCAAAGAGGTTCATATGGAATTGACACATTTCCAAGAGAAAGTAATTACTTAAAAAAACACTAAGAAGCTAGGAAAAAGTATATTATCAAGTGTGCACGCAAGAATCATTCAGAAGAATCACTCAATCATGCTGGATAGAAGATCCTACTAAAATAGTCATTCAATTTTTGCTACAGAGGCTGTATCTACATTTAAGACTTCAAAAGATCCATGATCAGGACCTTCAAGAAAAGTTTCTGGAATATTAAATATGGGCTAGGGGACCAAAAATTGTCATGAATCAAAATCTGACTAACAGTTGGGGAAAAAAAATGTAATAGGTTATGACACATTCTACTCTGCACTATGTCCTCCATTATTTTAATATATTTACTTCAATATTGGAACTGGAGAGAGTTGTAAAACTGAACAAAATCTACATGTGACAGACTGTATCACTGATCTGTGAAATTCAGGAGAAAAGAGAATGGACTTCTTGCCAAGTGGGATGAAGAAGGATGACAAGATTCAAGTTCGAATTCTATATGAATATTTTTCTATAATGGAAAATATAGAAAAAATAACTGAGCTAGAGTCTATGCTCTCAGTTATTCATACAGTGAGCTTAGCTGTACACACAATAAAATGGACCTATGCTAATCCTAATGTTTAAAGCACACTTGTAATCAATAAAATAAAAAAATAGCGGGTGGGATACAAAATGAAGATGCTAATAGAAAAATTTAAATAGATAAATGAATAGTAGTATTCATGGAAAATATGAAAAGGCTATTTCAAGAGAATGTATTGCACAATTAGAAATATTTCACAGAAGAAAAAAAATCCACAATAAGAAATCAGGGACAAGGGATAACACATCAATCAAACAGAGCAGACACTAACCAGACAATATTTTTCCGAATGAAGCATTAAGGGGAAAGAGGCATAATGAAAATATAGAAAAGAGAGGTAAGATAAGGAAGATATAACGGCTTATTACTCCTTTATCAAATAAGAAATATTACACTTCAAGGAGATGTTTAATGGAATCTGAAATTGTCCCACTTCAAAACAGTGACTGTCTTTAATATGGATTTCATTGCTAAAGAATTTTAAATCAAAGTGGACCTTCATACTTATATGATGAAAAATTGTAATAGTTAATGCTAAAAGCCTTTCTAGAATTGTAATTGTCAAGATTTGTGTCTAAAACCAAGGTCATACTGGAAGTTTTCTCTGAAGAAGAGAAGCATAGCTCCTGCGTCTTTCTCAGAGGCTTCTGGTTTTGACATCTGTCAGAAAAAGGTAACTGGAAAGAGGGCCCACTGTTTTAATCCATCACTTCCATATTACCTTATAATATCTTCTAAGAAAAAAGGATACTGGAAAATCACACTAGGTATCAACTACTTTAACACCATGTTAGTTCTGGTTTCTAATTTCAAAAGATATCCAAATTTAGTGATCTTCCACAATCAGAATCTAGACTAATAATAACCTCAAATAATATTTTTTTGCCATTCAGTCTTGCAGTGAAAGCCTAAGTCTCCAAACTCCTCTTAAATTTTATTATTGGTGCTGATTTGGCTGGATATTAAGTCAAATTAGTGAGTACAACTTGTGGGGATCTGTTGAGAGCTTTTGATTCAGGGCAGTACAATTATTGCTAAATATATTGTACCAGCTTCAACAAGAGGGTTAAGTGTCTTGATTCATATTTACATTCAGATCACAGAATCACAGAATCACAGAATCACAGAATTGTAGGGGTTGGAAGGGACCTCCAGAGACCATCAAGTCCAACCCCCTGCCAAAGCAGGTTCCCTACAGTAGGTCACACAGGTAGGCATCCAGGCAGGTCTTGAACATCTCCAGAGAAGGAGATTCCACCACCTTCCTGGGCAGCCTGTTCCAGTGCTCAGTCACCACCAGATAGCACTCATATACAAAAAGGTAAGATTATCTACCAAATGCAGGGAAGAAAGACACAAGTATCTCCCAGTATTGCAAATGAATAAAGCTCCTAGTGCATGCACACATAACCACAAGCATATAGGGACTGTTCTTTTTCATTTTTCAGTCACACTGCTACAACAGTGTCTGAGATTTACATACTTCACAGGTCTGTTTTTCTCTAATTCTACCAGAGATGTACAGAGCCTTAACACTTGATGGCAAATATGAATAAATCCTTATGTATGAAAATTGCTTATTATGCAATCGATAGTATCCACTTCAGGTCTTCTGCAAATTATTCTTAATATACTTGTTAAATTGAGGACTGATACAGAGATGGAGACAGCGAAAGATAAAACAGAGTTCACTGTATTTTAAAACTGAAAATATATACTCAGCTGATTGCAAAGGTCTTAATTTCTTTGTATTTTGTTAAAAATCTCTCTCATACAATAACTGTTTCTTACGTAGCAATTATTTTTTTCATAGTACATTGCAGTACTTCCAGTATAGCATAAGAGGCAACTGCAAGCCATGTTATAATTCATTTTGAAAATAAAAGGCATACTATTCCCAAGATAACCCTATCAATCAGATTTTTATTAATTCAGATAAGATCTATTTCAAATTGCTCTCTGTTCTATAAGTATGAATACAAAATTCTGTGAAGCTTAATAGAAAATACTCCATTCAATCAAACTATTCCACAGGAAGGCATATTCCCCAGAGTACTTGTGATCTTTCTTTCTCGTCATCATTTATCCTCTGTCTTAGGTCCGGCATCCTAGAAGGGAAATAATTTTTGGAGCTTCTAAAACACCTCAGGCTGTGCCTTCAGCTACAAATATGTAACCATATGGTTCCTTAATTACTTAAAGCACCACATAAGGCTTATGTGCTAATGTTTAAGATAGATTTCACTGTGGTGTTAACCCAAGGGAATCCACATGATACTCTGTAACCTCATGACTTTGGCATTACTTGTTTTGCTTGTATAGCAACTCCTTTGTAGCTCTCTTAAAATCCAAGGGTAATTTTTCAGAAAGATGCCTGCTGACTAAAAGGAGTGGAGTCCTTTCACTTGAAAACTTCACTGTGCTGTTATTGCTTACTCTACATATCTTTCTTCCTTTGTGCAGTTTTGCAGATGTTACAAGACAGATTCACCAGAGGATCATGCTGCCATCCAGAGGAACCATGATGGGATGGAGTAATTGGCTAACTGGAAACTCATGAAGTTCTGCAAAGGGATGTGCCAAAACTGCCTCTGTGGAGAAATCTGCTGTGCCCTTGCATCAGGAAAGGCTAGGGACCAACCATCTTTGCAGAGAAATATCTGCAGGTCCTGGGACATGACAAATTGAATATGAGGTAGCAATGTAGAATTGGGGCAATGAAGGCTAGCAATATCTGTGGTTACAGTACGAAGAATGTTGATAGAAGGTCAAGACAGGTGATTCTTTCATTCTTTTCAGACCTAATGAGACATGCCTGAAATGCTGATTTCAGTGCTGGGATCACCAGTACAGAAGAGATATGGACACGGAGTGAGTTCAAAGGTGAGCCATGAAAAAGATAATGCAGTTTATTCACAGAATCGCTCAGGTTGGAAAAGATTATCGAGTCCATCCACAACCTAACCATACTACCCTAACTCTAACGACCCTCTGCTAAATCACGTCCCTAAGCACCACATCCAAATTGTTTTTAAACACGTCCAGGGATGGTGACTCGACCACCGCCCTGGGGAGCCTATTCCAGTGCTTAACAACCCTTTCCATAAAAAAGTTTTTCCTGATATCCAACCCAAACTTACCCTGGTGCAACTTGAGGCCATTTCCACTCATCCCGTCACCTGTCATCAGTGTGAAGAGATCAACCCCACTCTCACTGTAAGCATCTTTCAGATATTGAAAGAGAGCAATAAGGTCCTTCCCTCAGCCTCCTTTTCCCCAGACTGAACAGCCCCAATTCCTTCAGTCTCTCCTCGTAGGCCGTATTCTCCAAGGCCTTCACCAGCCTTGTTGCCCTTTTCTGGACCTGCTCCAGCACCTCCATGTCCTTTCTGTACTGAGGTGCCCACAACTGAAAACAGTACTCAAGGTGGGGCCTCACCAAGTCGGAGTACAGGGGGGAAAATTACTTCTGTAGTCCTGCTCACCACACCATTCCTGATATAAGCCAGGATGTTTGGCCTTCTTGGCCATCTGGGCTCACTGCTGACTCATATTCAGCCTACTGTCCCTCAGTATACCAAGGTCCCTTTCCATCAGGCAGCTTTCCGGTTACTTCTTCCCAAGCCTGTAGAGTTGTCTGGGGTTGTTGTGACCAAAATGCAGGACTCAACATTTGGCCATATTTAATCTCATATAATTAACCTTGGCCCATCAATCCAGTCTATCCAGGTCAATCCAGTCTATGTCTATCCAGGTGTAGTGGAATTCTTAGGTCACAGCCTGAACCAATGGGTGAGCTATGTGAGTACATGAGTGTCTGGAGTGGCGGGAGGGGGGTTTAGAGCCATTCCTTCTGTCTCCACAATAGTTCCATCTGCCATCTGAGCCTCTCTTTTCCCCCCACCCTTCTCTGCTGTGGCGCAATGGTATGAATGGAGGAGGATCACATTCCTCAGTTCGTCATTTTCTCCAAACTGTTACTGGGAGGGGTGAGTTTATTCCTCATGGATATCTTCTCCTATAGCACCTATTTCTCAAGTAAAGGCTCTGTCATTGCCTTTGTTTGCTCTACACCAGGTCAATAGAATCATGGAATCTTAGAGTTGCAAGAGACCTCTAAAGGTCATCTAGTCCAGCTCCCCTACAATGAAAACAGACATCCACAGGTAGACGAGGTTGCCCAAGGCCTGATGCAGCCTTGTCTTGAAAGTCTTCAGTCCTTCATTGTATTATATATATCCAAGCCTGTGCTTGGATTTAGTGTGAAGGTCATGAGCATTTACTATTAAGAAATTGAAATTTTGAAATTTTTGACCCTAGAGTATATTACAGATTTGGAAAAAAAAAACCAAGACAATATTTTCTGACACAATTAAAAAAAAAAAAAAAAACACATCAGAGAACATTCACCTTTATATATACCGTTGCAACCTCCATGGACTTCTCCAGAACTAGAGATTTCTTCAATATGAGCCCCTTGGTCAGATGAAAAGTATACAAGAGATCTGTTGCTCAGATTATAATTCTCCAGCACATCCAGAATCTGTCCTAAAAAGAAATAATAATAATAAAAAAACATAGTGCTTTTGGGTGGCTTGCTGTAATTAATCTTGGCAAGTACAAATACACATAGTAATTGACAATATACAGTATGCAGAAGGGGACAATTTTACACAGCCTGTTGCAGTCAAGACTATGGTTCCATTGCAGCGGGGTTTCCTGAAGTATAAAATGAGAAGATTTGTGTACAACTGAAAAATGAGCTAATCCACAGAGAGCCAGTGATCTTTGGAAGCAGTTGCTCTCAATGACAAAAACTCCACAGCAAGAAACCGGTTTCTGAAAGAGTCTCAGTATACAGAATACAGTTAAGAGTTTGGGGGTCAAGCTGTGCTGCCTAGCAACCAGTAGAGGCAACATGGCAAAAACCCGTGTGAATGGTAGAATAAGAAATTCTCACCAAAAAAAAAAAAAAAGTTAAGGTATGGAATGGTTTTGGAGGCAACATGGTTTCATGATCAAGCCTACTAATTAGTCACTAATTTGTTGTCATACAAGAATAGACATCTATTAACTTTTAATATGCAAGGTAACAAGCACACGTGTGCACATAATTAAAAGAAAAATCCACATGGTTATGTTCTGAAATTCCAACACAGAGTCATTCCTCACATTCATTTACACAAAAGACTTCTTTCCCTTGGCACAGCAGAGGAGTCTTGCACTGCACATACATCTACATCTATTTAGACCGAATTCTTTAAAGAAGGCTTCTCTACTAATGAGTGTGAAGCCACTCTTTGTAACTCTTTGTAACTTGCTCCAGTGAATTTAATACTGATTAGGAATCAAAAATTATTGGCCTTGGAAACTAACCAAAGAATAAGAATATAGCATACATTAGCCTGCAAATAAGCTTTAACCTTATTCTTCAGGGATCCCAAAGCATATAAAGATAATTTTTGAGGCCTGTAACTAGTGGTGTTTCTCAGAGGTCAGTGCTGGTTCTGGTCTTGTTCAACATCTTTATCAGTGATGTGGATGAAAGGATAGAGTCCAAACTCAGCAAATTTGCTGATGACAAAAAGCTAGAAGTGGCTGACACATTGGAAGGCTGTGCTACCATTCAACAAGACCTATAGAGACTGGAGAATTGGGCTGGGAGGAACTTGATGAGGTTTAACAAGAACAAGTGTACATACAGTCTTGCACCTGAGGCAGAATAACAGCATGCATCTGTACATACTGGGGGTCGATCTGCTGGAGAGGAGTTCTGCAGAGAAGGACTTATGAGTCCTAGTTGACAAGAGGCTGGCTATCAGCCAGCAATGTGCCCTTGTGGCCAAGAAGACCAATGATATCCTCAGGTGCATTAAAAAGTGTATGGCCAGCAGGCTGAGGGAGATGATCGTCCCCCTCTAATCTGCAATAATGAGGCCATATTTAGTATACTCTATCCAGTTCTGAGCTCTGCAGATCAAAAAAGCCAGGGATCTCCTGGAAGGAGTTCAGCAGAGGTCCACAAAGGGCCTGGAGCATCTCCCATATGAGGAGAGGCTGAGTAACCTGAGTTTGTTCAGCCAGGGAAAAGAAAGATTGAGGGGGATCTGATTAATGTTCATAACTATCTGAAGGGAGGTGGGAGGCAAGTGGATGAGGTCAGGCTCTTCTCAGTGGTGCAGATTAATAGGACAAGGAGTAATGGCCTAAAACTTGAACATAGGAAGCTCTGTACTAACAAGTGGAAGAATTTATTTCTGATTAGGATGACAGAGCACTGGAACAGGTTAGGTTATCCAGAGAGACTCCTTCTATGGAGATATACAAGACCCATCTGGAGGCCTACCTGTGTGGCCAATTGTAGGGTACCTGCTTTAGCAACCCCTTCAGTTCTGAGATTCTGTGATTTTCTCTTGATCCTTTTTATTTATACATTCTGGCACGCTCCAATTTGAATGTTAATTTTGACTGGCTCAATTGTCCTCTCAGAATTAATTAATTCAAATAGCACACTATTGTCATAGACTCACATTCTCAATGCACTCACAGAAATGAACCAAAACTTCGGTTTCTATTCTTATTTTGAACAGCTACACCTTCTATAACGAACACTGTATAAATAACCGATAAAGTGTCTAAAATAAGATCCATTAAAGTACATCTGAATGATATGGTTTCTGTTAACAAATGTCATACATCTACTTATTAGCATTTCTAAAAGGTAGCCAAAACAATAAAAATGCAATGCATGTAGTGTAAGCAGATATCTTTGACATACTGCCATACATTATATCAATTTTGAAAGCAAAGAATGTAAAATAAGCAAAATATAAATTTTCTTATTTTCCAATAACAATATGTGTATTTTTTACTCTTCTAATTTTATTATTTCTTCAGATTATAAAGATAATTTAGAATTAAGCTAAGACTGATGTATAAACATACTGAGATAATCTTAGTTAATGAACAAGGAGGATTTTCACCCAGGCTGTTTTAGCTGACTAACTTTTTAAAAGGTGAATCATTACTGCAAAAAGGCCTTTTTAAAAAATCTATTGACTAAAAAGAAAAAACAGGCAATTAATTGAAAAGTAAATATTAGTAAAAGTAAACATTAGAGACCAAACAAAGTAATCTGAAATGCAAGAAATTTACTACGTAAGTTAAATTTTCATGACTGTTGTGGACAGCTAAACGTGATCAGAGTAAGATGGTAACAGTATTGCTTCCCACAAAATATGACTGGATACTTATCATACATCATCATATATGATCTTTGATTAAAAGAATGGGGCTTTTGCATGCCTAGCTGATCTGTTTGAATCCCATTTCTAGTTTCTGAACAAAATACAAATGTAAAAAGCTTGTAAAAGTAAAAAGTTTATTCAGAATATGAAACTGTGGGATAAATAAGTCAAAACACTTGGAAAACTGTAGCTCAGTTTTAGCAATGATGGCTTGAAATCCCCAATGCAGGAAACTATTAATAAAAATAGAAAGATGCTTTATCAAAAAGACTGTATTGAAAGTCTTGTTCTAAAAAATTAAGATCCATACTGATCTTGGTGAATGCCATTGCTTACATATTTCTGGTTTGAACAGAACAGATTTTAAAAGACAGCATTCCAAACAACAAAATAAATCTAACACTGAAAGAGCTGCACAAATTCTGAACCTACTGAGCAACTATAATTTCATTCAACCTTCTCCTCCTATTAGCATTCTAGAAATGTATATTCCAATTCAGTGGCTAACATTGAGTCAGAGACATATGATCATTAGACAGTGTTCTTTCATTTACACAAAAATAAATAAATAAATAAAATAATTCAGAATAGCATTAAGATGTTGCCTGTTTTAATTAAGATGATGTTTCAAAATTTAAGCAAAGCTTCTTCTGAAAAATGCTGAGCTCTCTACATTCTGTTCTCCACTCTCATTTCAAGCTATGTTAAATTATAGGATTGTTTCATTGTGAAAGTGAAAATGCTGACTTCAGTGGACTGATACTCATGTAAAAATGACGAAAGCAATTGACTCTACTCTTTAGGAGGAAACAGACAGCACTATGCCACTATTCAACTTGACTAACACGAGCATAAATGGAAGATGAACCTACCTATATAATGCTGATGTTAATTTTTGAAGTTTTTAACCGTGTAAGATTCCCTCTATGCTCACGCACATTATGTTATAGGATTTATAAAAAATGACTACTTGTTTGAAAACATGGCACAAACACTGAACAATAAAGTGTTATAAATGTATTAACAATTAGGAAATCTCTTCCAGTCAAGCAAGAGTATGAAAAATATATTTGCTTCATAATTAACTTACAGTCATTTGAAGTCAATAGACAGAAGGGTTACCTGTATTAATTTGAAATAATGTAGAATCTTGATGAAATTATGGGGGGAAAAATGCTCTAGAATATAAACTATAGAATACATGTGTGTAGTGTAGGCACTAGGAAAAAGATCTCTCAACTCATTAGGAAAGCTTTAAAATAGTTTGCTTGATTCAAAGTAAAGTAAGATTCAGAAGGAGGTTTAAAGATGGCTCAGGACAAGACAGTTCATGACAAAAGAAATTTCTTTTAATAGAACTTTTTATCCCACCCAGCAGACGTTGACATGACTGTCAAATCCAGAAGTTTATAGTAAGCTTCAGATAATTATTGGACAAAGATTGATCTGGGAAGATCAGCCATCACATCTCTGCCTAGAGAATTTTCTTCTGTTTAGTTTACATGTCAGAATTCCCTGCTGATATTAATGTTTGCTTTTGAATAGCATAACTAATCAGAATGACAAGTAACATGTTTTAAAGCTGAAGGGGCTTACGTCTGAGAATGACAAGCTAAGAGTGTTTTGAATACATGCGCAACTTCCCACACATAACGCCTGCACATATAAATATCTGGAAGCCTATACTGCTCTCATAAAAGATAATGATGTCATTTAGCTAAATATCCACTACATATTAAATTTCTTGGGACCTTCTTCTTGGCACAGGAATTAAATTAAGGTAACCCCATCATCTCTTCCAGGCTCAAAGGCTAATATTTTCACCTTATAAAGACAATGTTGCAACTTCTGCCCACTAACTTTAACACGTTAACAAACATTTTAATCTCTATACTGATTCTGTGTAATAAAAAAGAGACTTCATTCTTTAATGTACTGATCTGATTACAAAGTACACTGACTAAAACCTTTGTATAAAAATCAGCTTAGTAACTGAGATCAACACATCCATATCTTAATTTTAGCTTTTGCACATTTCAGGTTATAAATATGCAAATGTTTTCTGATATGCTTAAAGCTGTACAGTTTCCCCTTGATAAATATGTAAATCAGTTTGTCTCTGCAGTGGGGAAGTAATTATCACTTTCAGACCCACTCATTGAGCACAACACTAGAGGTAAAGATGGAAAATAATAAAACCACTGACAGCAAAATAAGAAGTTGCTGCACATATGGTGAGCAGTACATAAACTCTGCATGAAACTTGTTTAACATTCAGAGCTATAATACAACCACTAGGAA